TAATAAATATTATTGAAAAAAAAATATATTATTAATTCAAATGCAATATTTGTAGATATCATAGAATTTATACATATAGGAGGATTAACCACAAAATCTGCTGTTATATAGAAATTTATTTTAGGAAAAAGAGAAATTTAATTTCAAATATTTATAAAATATTGTTCAAATTGTATTAAGGAGGCGCAAATAATATGAGTTTGAGATTTAACTCCTTTGTTATAACAATGTCTCACACACGTTATTAAATTATATCAAAAATAATATTAAGGGGTTCATACATAAACCCGTATTATAAATAATCTACACCTCTGTATATTGAAGTCGAACTTCGATATACCACAAAATACAATTGCTAATAATAGCAAAATAAAAATTTAAAAAATAAAAGAATCAATTATGCAGTGACACTTCAATATTTAGACAGTAAAAAATAAAGTCAAACAGAAACAAGAGTGTATCAAACAATTTATTCATTGAAAAAAACTATGTTGATTGTATGCAAACGACTTTGAACCCATGAGCAATTTATATTTACCAAAATTATAATTACAGGAAATATGTCTCTTAGTTAAAAAAAAAAGTTCTTATAGTTATTAACAAGATTGAATTCTCTTTTTAGACAGTGCAGAATTTGTGTGTCTATTCTCCATCTTCGCAGGATCCCACGTAATCGATATTATGTGNTCCATCTTCACAGGATCCCACGTAATCGATATTATGTGAACAATAATTGTTCTATTTGATTATTTAGTTTCTTTTTCTAGTAAAAAATGAATACGTTACTATTACAGTTAAATTTTAATCAAAAACACGTGTTCAGTTAATCCTGGAGAAAATAATTATCATGTACATATAAGTACTATATAATGTATGTAATCAACTAGATGTTATTTGAGATTATACGTGTCTTATTAATATAATTATTTATGATTATCAGCGATCTTTGTTAGGTAATAAATTCCTTTAATTTTTAAGGGGGTTTATTTCAATTTTTTAATTTTTACTGCAAAATTTGTACTCAACTCTCAATGTGGTCAAATACATGCATTTTATTAGTGAAAGCAAGGTCTACCTGCATTGCAACGCTATCTAACTACTGCAAAGCAAGACATACTTAAAAACTGAAAAACACAAATGCAAAAAAAAATTAGACAATATTTTAATAATTAGTCAAATTGTCTTGTATTATTGTGTATTATTAATATAGTACTTTTGTACTATATTGTTTCTTGAGTTGATATTCGTTGTTATTACAACAATACCTTTGCGCATAAAATATTAAAATTAACACAATTAATTTTAACGTAAAATTTTATGTTGATAATAAGATTGGCTTTTGTAGTTAAATAGTGATATACAAAAACATTAATATTATACCTACTAAGTTACAAAATTAAACTGAATTTAAGTTTTTTTTAATCTTATTTTAAAATTTAGATTGGTAACTAACTTATTTTAAGAATAAAAATAAAATTAGTTTTTTTAACATTTCTAACAGTAATAAATCGTTATACATTTTTTTAATGTTTAAATAGTAACTTAAACGATGAAAACAAGTATAAAAAATTGCAACTCTATTTAATGTTAAGGGAACATGGACACTATAATATAAAATAAATAAATAGTCTCATCGTTATGGGTTTATTTGGGTATGCGTGTGCGTGAGACGACTTACCGAAACATTTGGACAGTTTTGTTTCTTTATCTATGTAAACCTTTGCTGATATTACATTGCCAAATGGCAAAAACATTGTCACAAGATCGGAATCAGCAAAATCCTGAGGGAGATGATATATAAACAGATTTGCACCGTCTGGACCCTCAATCTGCTTGCCGGAAACTTTAGTAGCTAAACAAAATAATTATGCAACGACATAGTACAAAAATGAACACAATAATATTTTTATAAGCTGCTTGTGATTTTCTAAAAAACTAAAAAAACCCCTTTTTATATATCATACAAAAAAATAAAGGTTAAATTTTAATCCATAATATTATATTGTCATACAAAGAAAAATTATCATAAAAGCTTTAGAGACGATCACAAGTAGATAAAAGCAAAGCAAAAATTTAAGCAGGCAACCATTTTTTGAATGAAAGGATGCATGTTTTTTTTTAAATAATAATAATTTTCTAATACATGCAGTAATATATACATATATAAATAAATAATACTAATAAAACCTTATAGTTTTCCTATATTCTTATGTTCCTAACATTCGCGAAGTTTAAGTTTTATGGAACTCGTCAGATATTATTATATCATCAAAATAAAGATAGTAACAGGAGCTTAAGTACTTAATTTTTATGACTTTTATGTGGTTAGAGCCTCGAGCTAAATAACATTGTTTTACAATCAGTAATAAATGATAACGTTAAAAATAAAGATTTATTTATGAAACTTATAATATTATACTGATAAGTATCTCAAAAAAATCTCATAATAACTTCAAAATATGCAATAATTGACATATCTTCATTTAATATAATAAAATTTAAAATTACCATAAGATGAAGAATTATGATTTTGTAAAATTAAAATTAAAATGTTACAATTTTTCATTCAAATACATTTGATATTTATTGTACCTTTTAAAAAATACACGATTTGAATGATGAAAATATTTAAACGTAATTATTAAATCTGTNCGATGAAAATACTTAAATGTAATTATTAAATCTGTTTTTAATATTCAAAAAACTACTACACATCACAAGAATTTGAAATCTTAATTTATAAAAAAACTTTTATAGCTTGTTGATGTAATTTATTTTATGCTATTTATAAAATGTTTCAAAGTTGATAACAAAAGAGATTAAAGGTATAAAAAGTAAATTAATTTTTATTTTTTCGTAAATACTAATAGAACAAAGAAAAATAAGGTAAATCATGAAATTCCTCCTATGTTATTGATTACCTAATTTTAATAGCCATCCCCCATAATATTTTATTTTTTAACACTAATATAAGTGCAATTTTTGTTTAACGAAAAGCTTCAAAAAGCACAATAGGTAAAATCTAATTAGTGGCTAAGTAAATAACATACACATATTTCAGAGTAAGTTAAAATAAATATACCAGTTTTTATCTATTAATCACAATTAAATATAAATTGATTGTTCAAATAATTAAAATTAAACGATTTGTAATTTAGTCTATTACTCTAGAAACACAACACAAAATTAATTAGAACTGATCAATATTTTTTCTTGGCGATTTTGTAATAATTAAATAATTTAACTAACAGTATAAAGTAAATAGTATAGCGAAGATATAACTTTAAAGAACCGCGGATAAAATATAAGAATAACATTTTTTCCAACTTATCAATTTAAATTGAGAATTTTCATTCAAAATTATATCTTGCAATTTTACTTGATACGCCGAACCAAATGTTGTTGAATCTAAAAATTTGCCATATCAACAAAAATGATGTTAAATTAATAAATTATTTATTTCAAATAATGAATACGCACTGTAAATTTTAGAAATTACCCTTTACATTTTTTTTTCTTATAAAATTTTTTAGGACATTTATTAGAAATCTTAGAACCTATTTCAGACACTACTTAAGTTCTTAATCGCACAATCAGGCTAAAAAAATGCATTTTAAAAAATTATATTAAACTGTATATTAAGTGATTTTATTAGTGGTCAATGTAACGGAAGCTTTAAATCAATAAAAAGAAAAAATAATTTTTAGTTGAATTTAAAACACAATTTGTTGGTCACACAAAAATCAATTATAAATGCAAATTATAAAAGACATATTAAATAAAAAATTTNCAATTATAAAAGACATATTAAATAATAAATTTCAATCGTAAAGAAAATTTTATCGAATCAAACGAATTATTGAGTTATGTTTCAACGGTTTTTTATGTTTTTAACACGAAGGATTGACATTAAAATCTTTACATTACAAAGTTGGCTTTCTTCATTTTCCGATTTACACCGTATATTATCAATTAGTTTATATTGATCTAGAGTTATGGCAGCTAGTCCATTAGCAAACTATACATTTTATTTTTATGCCTATATTATTTCTCTAGGGAGTCTTAAAAATTATTTGTTTTTAAAACAATACAAAGTATATACTGAGAAAATATACATAAATCGTGCTTTGATATTCTCTAGTAAAAGTAAATATTTTTTTTTAATTCAATACATATACATATTTTGAATATATTTTATATACTCATAGACATAATTTGACAAAAAGACAAGCAAGTAGGTGATTTTTTTTAACATCGAGATACAGTAACATAATCAAGTACTGGAGTGTCATATTTTTATTTTTAAAAAAATATTAAATAAGTTATATCATTTGTTGATAAAAAAGTAATTAAGTTTATTTTAGTTCAATATATTTTCATTAAATAATAACGTTTCCGATGGGGAGATTTTATTTATAACACTTATAGCTCTTCCAAGACTAGACCACGGCTTAATATTATTTGATTCGAGAAAAGAGTTACAGAGGATAGAATAACTTTGAACTGAAAGGTACAATAAATTTCAAATCTAAAAGATTCATAAAATACAATTTATTAATGAACCTCGTATATTCAATAATATATTATCTACTAAGTACTTTTTATTTATTTTTAACTCTTAAATTTATATTCATGGATTTTTTACTCATATACTCACGACTATTATTATTGTTGTTATTTATGAAATAAAGTGGTGAACTGGTTGGCGGCGACTGTGGCATTGCAAATTGATTCGAGTTGAGATCTGCCAAAGTTAGGCCAAGTGCATTCAGCGACGATCCGTACGTACTGTTCGCACCATTAGTACCAGCTAACAGTCCTACGGGGTAATTGATAGATTGAAATACATTTTGAAAAAAATCGTTAGTTTTATGCAATGTTATTTATTTATATATTAAAAATTGTATCACAATATAAGAGTATAAGTGTTAAAACACAAATAAATAATACATTAAGTGGTTTATAGTGTATAAAGAAAACAAATTAATTTCAAACAAAAAAGAAGAAAAAAAGCAAAATAATTTAAAAACATAATTCATCGAAGGCACACAATTTCATATCAAAACCACTTACCGGAATTTTTCCCCATTAAAACTAGAAAAGAAAAATTAAGGAGTCACAAATAATGACAATAACACGACAAATGAATTAAAATTAAAATTTAATGAAACAACTCTGTGGGTATAATAATTTAAAATAAATACTCAAGGGTATTAGTAAAAGATAACATAGGGGTATATGATATGGTAAAGATGATAAAAAATTACAAACCTGCTGCCGCGGCAGACGTAGGCGACAAACTTGACAAAGCTGAAACAAAACAAACAAAATATATTAAACTTGACGTACAAATGTTTTTTATTGGAAATATGTCAATGAAACGGTAATCCGAAGCTCGAATTAAAACTTTTCCTTTTATAACACAAAACGTCGTTTATAGAGTTCCTGAATGCTAAAAATAAAATTTTTAACAATTGGATTTCACGATCAAAATAGAATAGAAGCGTTCGCATTAATGGCCAATCAAATGTTACATGGTTTGTTCGAAAGTATTGTATGGAAATGAAATGTTAAGCAATAAGTCAAATTAAAATTGCTATTGAATTATTACTTTTTGGTTATTTAAATGACACCGAAATATTTTTGGCATATGATTACTTGAAAACAAAACTTATTGACTAATAAACTTACAGTATTGGATAACGTAATAGAACTGATTGTATAAAAAGAAGAAAATGTAAGCATATTACATTTCATAATAAATTCGAGCTCAGGATTTTCTATATCGAACCACTTAAGAGATAATAATAAAATGGAAAAAATTCAATGACATAAAGCATAATAGTAACAAGAATGTTTATGCCTTTTACAAAAAGATAATTTTCAACAGCCGTCACAGATCATATCAATATTAACCTCGTATCAATATAAAAAACAATAACAATTAACATGCAATATTTTTATATATAAACTGTTAAACAATTAATTATTTTCAAATATGTGCTACACTCGGATGTGCAGGAAGTATTGTTAAGTGTTTTTTGAAACCAATTCAAAGAAATTAATACACTTTTAAAAGAGGCTACAAAAAAAAAAACATTAGCTAAACAAATTTTCGAAGAAAAAACTGTCCACATTCCCTGAACAAGCTGCACACACAAACATAACTTCTAACAAATTTTTAATTAAAAATTCAAATTTATGGCCCAACTAAATTTTACAACAATTAAATATGATAATTTCAACAAAAAGTAAAATTAAGTAAATTTAATTTAATTGCTTATAACATAATTGTTAGTATTGATTTTAATTTAATGATGATAAATATAATTTTTTTACTATTAACTGTATCCAGTTTTTTCTTCAGTAAGAACTAATTAAATGACAGATATTTTGTTTTGTATAAATCATTTTACACATTTATTTTATATTTATTTTTTGACATAGTCAGTTTAAAAAAAAAACCGATACAAAATTAAAAATATTTTTTTAAGTGGACAATAAGTTCTCTGGAATTGAATGATAAATAAACAGAAATCAATAAACAAAAAATTAAAACAATTTTTAAGTCTGAATATTGGAATTAAAATAGTTGTTAATACAATAATTTAATCTACACGCTACATTAATGTTATTAATTTTACAAAGTCATGCAAGATTTTTGTAAGCAAACGTAAATTATGATTAAAACTACAACAACAAATAAGTAAACAGAAATGCTCAAGAAGTTTATGAATATTACACCTAAAGGTATAACTCAACACTTGCAGGACAAAAATATAAAACCCTATAAGAATAAACAAACCTGAACTACTTAGACTAGATGAACTGGATCCTAAAAAACAAAATATAAATTTATATTTTAAAATTATAACCAATTAAACTAATTTTTGATAATTAAGGTTAATTTACAAAGAAAACTGTACAGTAATTATAAAATTGTAATAATAGTGACATTGCCATTATCTATTCAAATACGTAACTTTCTCGTTCGTAAACCTTGAGGGATAACAATTTATGATCTAGTACAACAAAACTTTTAATAAAACAATAAAATTAGTCTGTATATCATTTGTGTTCGGGGTTAAAACTCTCATGTTCCTAAAAATTATCAAGTATATTTGATTATCAAGTATAAAAGGAATATATGCAAATAACATTTATCTTTTTATTGTTTTCTGAAAAATTAAAAAAATACATATTCATAACAAAGTAATCTTTTTGTGCAGTGCTTGATAATAAATGATTTAATTCACAAGAAATGTTTTCTATTTTGCAGAATAACTTTGTGAAATAATTATTACATATTTAATATAAATTACAAAACAATTGCTATTATAACATAAAAATTCTAGATAAATATTTTTTAATTTTCCTCTAANGACAATTGCTATTTTAACAGAAAAATTCTAGATAAATATTTTTTTATTTTTCCCTAAGAATAATTAAAATAAAAGACAATAATGTTTTATTACAAGGAGACGATGTACAATTAATAATTAAAATTATGAATAGTATTATTGTTGTTATGATAATTTAATTTCATTTAAATAATTAATACTCAGTGTAGCCGTTTCATACCAAATTCGAAGTTTAAAATGGAACCTACCGGTTTAATACATGAACAATGCTAACATAAGCATTAATGGCTGTGTAGTTATAAATACTAATGGTTTAAACTATGTATTTAATTGTTTCAGTACTTCCGTTTAAAAAAATATCGACTTATGAAATATAATTCATATGAACATTTACAATACATACTGATTTATTTTAACAATTTAAGTTTATTTATGTTTTGTTTCTTCGAAAAAATTAAGAAATGTGAAAAAGTCTTAAAAAAAATTTGAGAAATGACCTACTTCAAATGCTATTCAAGTATTGATATTTATTTTCAAAAGCAAATTTTCAAGAAGCATGCACTCAAGGTTTTTATTATGTTACCATCCTCCTACCAATGAAAAATATGTCTACATCTGTAAACGATCGAGAAAGATGTATTTAATAATAGATTGACAATTGCAATGATACATTACATAATAGTTTTATAAAATGGAATTTTTACCTGTAGGTGAAACTGAATTAGCGCCCATCGCAGCTAATGTAACGAGATTTTGCATATTTACAGAATTAACGACTGAAAAAAAATCAATTACAATTCAATCATTATTAGTAAAATAATGTATCTAAAATCTAATAAGTTACATTAATAGTGTAATATTGATTTTTAAATCAAATTCAAAACACTTTGGTTGAATAATACAGTAATCGGGTACGGAGTTATAAAATAATAAACTTAGAGCCTAATTTTAGGACAGAAATAATTTTCTAAATATAATAATTTCAGTTGCTTAACACAAACTATGAATGTTCATGAAAGATACTACAACAAGCATAATTTATAAATACAATTATTTTGGACCAACTTTTAATAGCCATTTTCTTCGTTCTAGGCCAATTTTGTAAAAGCTCGTGAAATATTCGCATGGAAAATTTAATGATTACAAATGGGGATGCATTTATAAGTCTGCTGCCTAATTCCAAATTAATCATTCGTTTTGCACTCATGGGGCTGTTCGAATACCTTCTCCGATCACATAGACTCACGCATACACAATTTAGCTAGTGGATTAATTGCCAATTAAATAATGCGCAACACGGGAATAGACAAAAGAAAACACGAATCATTTGGCCGTCGTCCAAACGGGTAATAGGTAATAATAATAATAATAATGAATAAAAAAGGAATAGTATAAACCGTGAGCGGCTGTCGGAATTCAAATGGATTTTATTAATAGACGACCGTATGCAAACGTTGTACGTGCGACTATTGAATAGCAAATATTTTGAGAGTCAGTATTAACTGCAAAGATCAACGGGTAATATCCAAGCAAAACAAAAAAAAATCGAAAAAGAATTATTCGAGTTGTTAGCATGGTACGTTTTAAACTACCATTAAAGAGTAACGAACAACCTTTGGGAAAAAAGGCACTAAACGTTGAATTAATAGTAGCGAGTTTTCTAAGGGGAAAAAGAGAATAATGTCATTGAAAACAATATAGATAAGAGAAAAATAATACCGTACAACATATAGTGAAAATATATTGTTGAAAGTTTAACAATAGTAATTTTTTTTTCTTTTAATGCACACATCAAACGCTCATCGTATCACTCCATTATCTGTTGACAATTATTAAGAAATAAGATCAAACAAGTGAAAAAGAGCAAACGCCAATGAGTTGCTCTGTTTATAAAGGAAATTAACACGAAACTTATATGAATAAATACATGAAATTGCACCATATAACTACACAACACGATCTATTTATCATAACACATTAAATTACTTGCAAAATGAGTACAATATTGAACAAATATTATGATTTATTTTTTGTTACATCTATCGATTTATCAGTTATTTATTACTTTTTTTAATCATGTAACTATGAAACTATTAAAATATGGTCTGCGAGTATGACTATTTTTATCATTTTACATTTCTCAGTCGCACTAATTCTCCTGCTCAGGCATAAAAATGTTTATCACTTCCGAAGTAGTGGTCTAAAAATTGTTATTGATCAGTCTTGTTCTTAATTATTTACTATTTTATAAGCTAGTTAAAAAAAAAATTAAGCCGGCTCACTTTTAAGTCATAAGGAATGCTCAAAAGTATTTAATAGCTGATATATTAAAAAATATAAATAATAAAATAAAAAGCATTTTTTAATATTTTATTTGTTTTACAATTAATTAAGCGGGTTATGATAAACGGATCACTCGGTATAATTTAACTGTATAGTATAGTTATATAGTTACTTATTAACTACATAAATGCATATGAAATTTCGTATAGGCTGTAACAGAGAAATTTGATGTAAAATAAGTACGTTAATAGGATGGTCATAATTTTTTTCATTATGTATTGTTCTCTTGAGACACATCGTTCAGGTTAAATAAAAAGCACATAAATCGTTTAATTAGATTTTACACAATGCTAAACGCAAACACAACGTTGGACCACGTAAAAAGGAGGGTCACTATAATAGTACAGAAAATTTAATTAAAAATACCTTCGAATACCCACATAGTAAATATTTACTAAAAATACTTCAAAAGAAATTTATGACGGTAAAGTAGATTAATGTTTTATTATTATGCGAATTGATGCATGTAATTATTAATGATTGGTATATACTTACTTGGGTTTCCCACGGAAAGGTTGGCCAACGTCGACAGGTTTTGCAGGTTACCAGGGTTCAGGTCTCCCAGACTAGGCGGCGACGCGGACAGATTCTGGTATCCTGCATAGAAAGCATCGGTGTTGTAATCTATTCGTCGCGGTGAGACGGTATCTAAACTTAAGGGATAATTGGACGTTTGGATATGGTACTGGGATTTGAGTGCACCTGAATTTAGGATCAACATACACATACACACACACACACACACTGAATTAATTAATTTTCACAATATTAGAAACCCGATTTCACAGTTAATTTTTGCACGGGTCATGTGGGTGTACTAAATCGTGTAAAATGAAATTTAAGAGTAGTTATTTGAGTTAAATATTCAAAATTAAACTTCTTTTTTACTTCTAACAGCATTGACTAATCTAGTAGAATAAAATGCACATTAATCCAATTTTTGTACGTTTCTGGAAAGAGATTTCACGAGCAATATGTGAATATTTTAGACGTGTTAAGTAAATAATAGAGTAATTAATTTAATATTTAATTATTAGAAACGATTTAGACTATGACTAATAATATCAAATAACTACTTGTGATATAATCAATGAAAATATTATTAATATCCGCCTACATGTTCTAACATGTGTATTAACACATGATCGTACTACCGAAAATAAACATAAAATTATGGGTAAAACGACACATCACATGGCCAACTTACGCCCCTATATCCGGTTAAAGATAAGATAGTTATAATATTATCCAATGCAACCAGAAAAAACGTTGTAAAAAATTAATTAGATATCATTTTCTCAACATTTCACAGAAAAACGTTGATGAAATTAAATAATTAAAATCACTGAAGTTACTTTTTTTACGGAGTTGGTAAAAATTTGTCGATAGGAACAAACACAAAAGTCGATAATGAGAACGCTTAATGAGTTATCGTAGAAATGACTGAGTAATGTATGAATAAGTGACGATAATACATACTTTCAATACATGATATGCACAATTAGTTTTAGCATTAGCCGAGTTAGAGATCAATTATGAATTTAACTCTAAATTGAATAATATCGAATTTAAAATGGAATTGAATAATTTTTATGAAATATAATTGTATAACATATTTGCAGTAAAAGACAAAAGATTGAATACACATAAGAAAAAGTTATTTATTTTAGTCTATTTAATAAAAACGGACTATTTATTTTGACATTTACATATAACATACATATTTTTAAAAAAATTTTAATAGGGTCCAAATTTTAATATACATTGTATTTTTTGGGATTATTTTAGACGACGGCACGATGCTCGTATTGTGCTCTTCAAGCACAAAATTTGTAAATTTTGGATTTTAAGTAATTTTTAGGAACAATTTTTAGTGAAAAATTAAGTTTATTAGAGGCCACCCCCTAGTATGTACCGATACTATGAAAAACACTTAAAAACGAGATTTTTTAACTGAGAATTATATAATTTTTTAGATTTTGGACTTTAATGCCCGATAAAACCTAGAAATCTAAATTTCGGGCAGTTTTTTCCATTTAATCTTAAAGTACATTTTATTAGCTGTAATTTAATGTACGTTTAAAGAAGGCAGATTTTTCGGAAGATTATCATAAATTGAAAAGAAAAAAAATTTTATGATTTTGCCCTTTCCAGTACTTTGATTGATTTTTTGATTGATGCATATTTCACAATGATCTATTCATTTTTAAAAAAGTTATTTCAATATACAGTAAATACTAAAAATATTAACATGGACTGTTATATGACGACTTTAATTTTGTGGAACTTTTCTTTTCATTATCGAGTTTACGATGAACTCTTCGAAATTATGGCACTAATAAATTTAATTATATATGTTTTGTGATCTTTTGACATATTGTGAATCAAAATCGGACCAATATGAGTGGCAGTGTGAAACGACTAGTTTCAGAGCTACACAACGAAAAATTAATAGAAATTATGAACATTATAATAAATGTGATGAATACATCGTATTTTAAGATTAATCAGAATATGCTTAACATTAAGAAGAATCTTAGTTTAGGTTTTAAGTAAATATTCTTAAATTTGTATTTTTTTATCGGGTTTTTGAAAAGTACGTGAAAGATTTTTAAAAAAAGTTAAAATTATTTTCTACATTTTTAATCTGATAAACTTTATTAAAATTAATGAATATGAAAAATAATCATTTCGTTATATGCATCCAAACTTTTGCGCGGTACTGTACATACATTGTATTACACTTATAGGAGAGAAATAATTTTAACATATTTTTAATAGAAAAATTAATTTGAGAACACGTTACCTGTATTATTTGAGAGAAGCAAATTGTTCAACTGATTTGTATTGTTGTTTGCAGCAACAGCCGCAGCCGCAGCATTCAGTTGAATTTGCTGAAGCACTTGAGAAGATAATGAATTTGTATCACTCTGAAATTACAATTTTTTTTTATTTTATTTTTAATTAATGTAATTTATGTTTTTACTAATTATAAACATTTAAAATCTAATAAGTACTCAATAAAATTCCATAAAAAGACATTCTTAAATGCATTTTTTTTTTTTTAAGACAAATATTGAGTTGTTTTATTTAAATAGGTTTCTACATTACCAACGGCGATTGACAAAACGCCTGATAAAATTGATTGAATAAGACGTAACGAAAATGATCTTATTAATGAATTTTTCAAATGATCAAGTTTAATTAACTACATTGTTCATAAAATTTTAATACACCAGTTAACTAGATTTATTGTAGAAAAATGAGGTAAAAATGGGGAAACGTAACGTTTGTAAATGTACAAAGAAATCATTAAAATGCGGCGTTGGTATAAAATTTCTGAGACAGAAATATTTACATATTTAAAACGGGATGAGCGGTGTCGTTAGGGAAATGTTGAAAAGGGGTAATCCATATGCGGAACTTTCTGTAAAGGTGAAAGTTGAAGGTGCAAAAGTTTTCAGACTACTGTGAAAGATTATAAAACGTGAAAGCACCGAGATTTTCCTTGAATAAATTATATAATTATGATGGAAAAAATTAGGAATAACTGGAATAATTTTTTAATCCTTGACTCAATTAAGTTTGTGATTTGAAAAATGGTCTTGATTTTTTGTCCCCACTGCTAAATATTCATTTTGAGATATCTAATAAAAAAACTGTAAGATTGTTCGCATAATTATTATTGTTATTCGCTAGCTGTTAACAATGGTACAATACACGAGATATATACAAGTTTGCACAGTGAACCTGTTAAGTTCAAATATTTTTAAACCAAGAGTAAAGAGATTTTATACTGCAGATGTTTTGAAAAGTTTCTCTGAATGACTTTTCCTTTGAGTCGTTACAAGTTTGTTACAATGTCATTTTCACGCAGGAGACCGTGCAATGTAACTTAATAAAACTCATAAAATAACACCAAATAACACTACAGCTTTTGGCCTAATTAGAAAACGATCTTCGTCGTGTAATTGGCGCGTTTTGCTGTTTCTCGCGGGTGTCATGAAGTAGACGAGCTAAATGCAATTTGTGATGGTAATACAATTTCTGACGTAGCCCTTCGAAAAAACAGCGTTATTTGAAAAATCAATTTCCTTCATAATGATTTCGAACAGTGATGATATCTTTGACAAAAACAATGATGTTTGTATTTAAATTAGGTTTATTGTTATTAAGTTTGAAATCACATAAATTTAAACGAAAAAATTCAAATCATACGATTGTATACATACACAACTATCCACTTAATTCTTCGTTTGAGGGATTTCTTTTTATTAAACATATACATTTATAACGTCATTCAATATAAAATATTGAACAAAGTTACCCATAAATATTCACATTAATTTTTCAATTGAAAAATAATGACAAACTCACGTTTATTTGTTGATTAGCTAAAACGCCTAGGGCCAGATACTGAGCTGTGGGAACATTGTTGCCGGTGGCTGCCAAACCCCAAAGATTTGCTTGCATTTGTTGCATGCGTTTTTGATCTTTTTCTTTTTGAGTGTCCGCGAACTTAACCACCAAAGGACATGTGCAGCCTTCCATAGTTTGTGAATGATGCATACCTTTAATAGCAGCGATGGCATTTTGTTTCGTTGTATATGTAACAAACGCACAGCCTAAAAGATCAAAAGAAAGTATCTTTTTATATGAAATAAAGTATGAAGAAAAATAAATTTATTGGCATAAATATTTGTTGACATCAGTATAATAATTGCATAACCCCATGTTGAATAAAAAATGTAATTCGAAATTCAAATATTATCTTTTATAACCAAAGTTCAAGCTGTACATATAAACTATATGAATAGAAAACAATATTAGTTGTTAATACATAATGGGAGTAGACTTTTTAAAAATTGTCTACTATTTAATGTATATTAAATACTTTCAATGCTGAATCTAAAAAATATACCAATTTTTTAAGAGTAATAGTTAAAAGAAAATTATTGTGAGACTAATATGTAATAAGGTTTCATTACTTGATAAAAAAAAGTTAGGCAATGCCCCTCCGGAACTTTATAAATTTTAGACTATACTCAATTCCAGTGGTGTTATGGATAATGAAGTTTAAGCATATAAAGCTTTATCGACTATGTTTAATCATGGCCAAAGGGTAAGTTAAAACACACATTAGTGAGAACTCAAAGGTGCTTAAAGAGACATAACTAAAAACTATTTTATGAAAGTAAATAAGATAGTGCAAATAATACAAACCACTACAGGTAATTTCTTAAGTATATATATATATTAAAAGAATAGAGATACTTTAATTTTAAATATGAAAATTAAAACTTTTGTGACACCACATAAGAAATTTTATTCTTTTTTATGTAAATTATATAATGATTAATAATAATATTACCTTTGCTAACACCATTTGGATCTCGTAACACAGAACATTCTTCAATAGGCCCAAAGGGTTCAAACATTAGTCTAATATCTGGTTCTGATATTTTTTTTGACAGCATGCCAATAAAAAGTTTTCTTTCTATAACAAAATTACAAATTTTTAATATGATAAATTTTTTTTTTATACTACAGATAAATATAAATAATATTTTAAATATTTCTATTTACATTTATGATTAACTTATAATCTTAAATAATACATTAAAAGAAAACATGTGTTAATAATTGAAACAAAATCTCGAAAATTATATTGTTTCCAACACATGATATTACACTGTAATATATCCCAAAATATCAACATTATTACAGGTAATATATTATTAACTGATTCCAATTTAAATTAGTTAAGTTTTGACCTTCTCTAGTGGAAAAAAATTGTTTAGCTTCGATGCATAGCTGAGTAGTTATTGGTTTTGTGATGGTGCGTGTTTTTTTGTCTGCCATGAAAATTCTAGACTTTTACCGGACAGATTTAAATTCTTAATACGTTAAAAAACCTGATTTTAATCTAGTTGAATTTATCGTCGCCGAAAATTGAAATAGACACTCGATTTAAAAAATGTAGAAAAATATATTTAAACTACTAAACCGTCAAAAAAGACGTGTCAAAATTTCTTTCTTTATTTCAATACTGATGTAACTTATTTTAAAAATTACTGATCCTAATGAAATCTCAGTAGAGTATACTAAAGACAATGAGCTTTTTAGTTATATTTTTTATAAAAATTAAATTAAAAACCTAATTACAGGAAGGGTTTAAAAGAGACTACTCATACATGTAAAAAAATTTGCAGAAAGTTACAAATATACAAGTTATAGTGGAACATATTCATATTAAAGCATTTTTTATGGTAGTGATGTTAATAACTATGAGATGTCATTTAGACTTGTCTCAACTAAAGCCACTTCATCACTGTACTGGGATTTTTATTTAACATATACAATTTTTCTGGAAATTTTAAAGAACTAAGCCCCTAACATTCACCAATGCTTGTGAAGTTTAATAACTGTTTTACATAAAGAAAATTCATAAAATGTCATCATTAGTGCATTCTTTTTTAGTAAATACGAATTAGAATTAATTTTTTTGAAAAAAAAATGAATTTAGAATACATTCGATTTTGAACTCAATAAATAAGAATGTGAATACATTCTTTTTTTTTTGCATTATAAATAACATTTTTGCATTTCAATAGCTAATATATGATACGTCTAGTTTTATCTGATATAATATGATTAGATTTTCACGTTTGGAATAACAACTAACAAAAAGGCCAAAATATAAAGTTACTAGTGATAAAAACGTTACAGAGAATATACTTTTTTAATGCTTGTATTTTGGTTTCTAATTACAAAATCAAGTTATTTACACTATGTTTCAATCACATCGTTAACAGGGTATAACGTGTGTTGGACTATCCCAACTCTTTAAGCCGTCGATCCAGTATACTGTTTCATACCATTAATTAACTTTTCTTTTGTACTCTAATGATGCACGACAAGTCGGTTAATTTGAACGTGTAATCAACTGGATAAGAAGCATATCCAATCCATCCAATATTTGTAATTAGTAATTCACAGTACAAAAATACTACTTCAACTAGGTTTTCTAATTCCATTTATCACAATTAATTTAGTCTATAATAGACTAATATTTTACACAATTTATCAGAAAATGGGATTGTATATCCCGTAATTTTTTCTCAGACTACACACAGTATTCCAATTTATAAAAATTTTGGGCTAACTTCAATTTTTTGTTTTCATAATTTGAATTTGTTTTTTTATTTTTCTTTTACTTTTACTTTAGTTAAGCTATAGTTATCAAAAAAAATATTGAAATTTCAAAAAAATTTTCTAATCTATTAATCTTCAAAAATATATTATAGAATTTTCATAATTAAAAAAATATTTTTATAATACTTTTAATAGTAATTGTAAGAAAATGTTTGTTCTTTCTTTAAAAATATGCATAAAATAGAAATCAAGCTCCGTCAAGCTGTGAAAACAGTCTCAGATTATAAAAAAAAGGTCTATAAAATATTTACACATACTTTTTAGTTGATTATATTTGATATTTAAACATAAAAAATGACGATAAAACAAATAAATAAAACAGATTATTTGATTTTTAGAGACTTATCAATGAAAACCAGATTAAGAGTAAACATTTTTTTTATACACTCATATATTTCATAGAAATGTTTTATTTCTCACCAATTATAAATAATTTACATAAATCATCATTTATTGATTTTTTTATATTGGTATTACTTCATAATATGGATAATATAACTGGATCTGAGCTTATTTATTATTAATATTCTAATAATTAGATAACTTCATGAGTCGTTTTTATGTTGCTTAAGTAAAGTTAAAACTATTTATCTTTTGTGGAGAATTAAATAAATACCAATTTTAAATTTTGAGGTTCTAAAAATACCAAATTTTGATATAAATTATGCCAAAGGCCTTCAAACGTTTACGAAAGTGAAATAGTATCAGATTTGGATTTAGCAACTTTAAAAAACATAAAACTGGACTTTTTTTGTCCTTGAAGGCTAAATTTTAGCTTGTATCAATTATGTCCAACTTTTTTTATTTTAAAAAAACACTGTATAACAACCAAAAAGTTATTTTAATAAAAATTAGAAGCAATAATTGTATATTATTAAAAAGTTTTAAAATATTTCTTCCGAGTTCAATATTATAATATATAACATAATTGTTAAGTGTAAAAAGTGTGCCATTAGTTTCATGTTGATAAAAAATTAGCCAGTGTTCCTTTATAACCTCAACCACTGAAATTCAGAATGTTTTACAAACACAACCGAAAAATAATTATGCTGAATTTTTAAATAATTGCCAACGTTGCTTTTTTATAAACACTTAAGTAACTTATTACAACGGAGTTCTGCATTGACAAATGACAACTATGATTTACGTAACAGTTCAATATCACTGTCGATTCAAACCGATGTAGGATAAATTTTTAAAGCAAACTTATTAGTTACATATGATATATGGTTGTCTACAAAAGGATACGATTTTTGTAAATAACACAGTCAGCAGTATGTCTCAACTTAAGCAAAAAAAAAAATATATATATAATCATAAACTAGAATAAATATTAGAATTTTTAATTAATTTAATTTACTTATAATTTAATCTCATTTTTTTTTTCAAAGAGGTAATCGCGTAAAGAAATGAAGTGCAACGACTAAAAACTCCATTTTCAATCATTTACAGAGAGTATGAAAGAATTTTGTATAAAAGCTTAAAAACTAGAATATTTTTATTTTTTAGAAAATATTTTATACTTAATATAATTATTATAATAAAGGCCTTACATTAATTTAAATTTAATTTAATTTAATAATTATTATTCATAGCAATACTTATTAATATCGATGAAAAATTACCATTACTGCGTAGGAATAGTGACATAAAACAGTTGGAAGATTTGTGTTAAGTCCTAATATTACTTAATTCTTGTTAAATAATAGTGAAGTATAGAATAAGAATTTATTATATTAATGTAAGCTTATTTTATTATGTCTCTATATTATAACGAATGTATGTGCAGAAAATTTTTTTGAATTTAATAAATTATGTAATATAAATTAAGGACAAGAAAATAATGTTGCAAGCAAATTAAACAATACTACATATTAAAAATTATTTGACGATAAGTTCATTTTACTTTTATTCAATACACTATAATTATTAAGGCTGTATAACCTACAAAAATTCGCATTTCAGAACTGAATTACCAATAAATTTGTACACACTAAAAACATGATTATTTTTATAGATTATTACAGTATTAAATCTTATCACTAATTATAAAAAGATTTATACTGAAATTAAATTTTGAATGTAATAATTTTGATGTTAAATCTCGAGAAAAACACACTGACGTGATATTTTTACAAACATATTTGTTAAAACAGACTTAATAAATAAGTCTCTATATGGCACTTGAACCAGAAGGGTGTAAGTAAAATAACAAAAAATTAGTTTAAAGGCTAAAATTTTAAGTTTAAAAGTTAAAAGTAATTTATTAAAAGATATGCACTTTTGATAAATCCAAAGTAGTAAAAATTGTATAATCCAAACTAATTCCTATTATAACGAGAGTAAATGAATATTATTAATTATAAATATAAATCAAATAAAATAAAATAAAATAAGAACACNTATTAATTATAAATATAAATCAAATAAAATAAAATAAGAACACTTGGTCATCTATATTATTTATAAATAAAAATTATTAACTTAATGATTGTTTATTTAATAATTTGTGTATTCTTACTACTAATTACTAATAATAGATTAAAACAATATCAATATTGTTTTGATTAATAATTTGTGGTCAGGTACCCACGGTAACATTATATATGTAAAAAAAACATCATTTTTTCATGAAATCGACAAACCAAAAAATAACCAACAAATTAAACTACCGAGTTAAGATTAACTCAATTTCTGTTCATTGATTTATACAGTGTTCAGTAAGTAAGGAAACATGTTAATTGTTTCAAACAATGAGAACAACAGAAACACGTTTTCTTACTTACTGAACACCCTATATATAAATATATAGAAGTATTATGTAATGCAGTCTACGATTAGATGATATAGTTGTTTGTTAAATCAATTATATAGTAGTAACAGTATAGAAATTTCAATGTTATCATACATCAAAAATATTGTATGCATGACAAAAGAATAATTATTAAAAATGAAAATGTAATAATGTCATTAATAACTCATCAATGAACATTAATATCCAATAATGTTTATTCAGATCTTAATAAAATAACTCAAAAAAAGGATGATAAATGACGTCTAATCAAATAATTAGTTTTAAATGTATAGAAGACATTTGTAATTTTATAAAAATATAAGAAATTGACAACATAAAAATAAAGGAAACTACAGCCTGGGCAACCGTCCATGGTCTAGACTAGCGAGCCTCTTAGTTTGAAGTTCTTTTAATAATTCTTATTATTAAAAAAAATTTCATTATTATGATTAATATAATTTTAATGTTCATTTTAATGAATAAAATAT